GATAATTATGCTACCCTCCCTTATTTAAAACCCTCTCTAAATTAAACACTGTCCCCCAGTCCCAACATGTTTAATTTAGACAGTTTTTACTGTACATGCATAACTACTGGCTCCCTGGCCCACATACCGAATTCTTGTTTGGGTGCAGTCACACCATGCCCATCTCAAGAGACACACACCCGTTCCAGGGTACGTGTAACCCAGTTACAAAATGTGTTGGGTCGGTTCTTCGCCGTCGTCTCACTGGAGAGCACCTGGTCTGCCCATCGATTATGCATTTGCCGGCCGCGAGGATCATGCCTTTCGCAGTAGCTCGTTGGCCCATTGGGGAACGTTAGAAGAGGAATGTTTTGCGATTAGACTTAGAAGAGCAGAAACTTAATGGTAGTAAAAGAACTTCGGGCTCAGTATTTTCTCGTGAGCGTTCACTTTTGCGCGACGGCTTAGATAGACAACATATGTATAAGCTCCATGACTCCTTGATGCTCATAAGGTCACCCACCTCCGGTCGACGGAGAAACGAGCACAATAATTATAATTGGGTTGCTTAAAAATGGAACTCCTAATAAATGATGTAATGTTGAAGGCAAAAAATCAATTCCCTGAGCCCCAGGGTGCACGATAGTCAGTTGCCACGTGTTGCTAGACATGTATGAGGATGCCTTCCAGAGTAAAATCTGCTTTTTAAATTGCAGGCACCCTATCGCTTCTAGAACGTATCGTAATAGATGTCGGTCGTGTTGGATCCAACGGCGTGTTGCTGCTGCTAGTCAGTTGATTCAGGATGCATGACGACAGACCTACGAGCGTATCAGGCGACTATACCTCAGGCTTAAAGGTGCATTCCAACATTTCCAACTGCTCCTTCAGCTTTTCACGCTCCTCAATCACCTGGGATTTGTCGTAGCTCAAAAGTCGTTCCCAAACGGGAGGAGTCGGCCCACTATTGCTCAGGACAGCATCCACTCCGATCTGAGGTCGAAATGTGCACTCGGCCAGCTCATTCAGAAGCCTCAATTCCTCACTCATCTCAATTTTCTCCTTCACCTTATCTTTTTGATCATACAGACGCTACACACCAAACACGCTTAGCAATAAGCGAACAATGAAGGAATATTGTATTTGACGAACCTCAAAGATGCTCTTATCGGAACTAGCTCGTTCATTGATTTTAATTTGAATTTCTTTAGGAGGCGCGATGATATCAGGCTACACCGAAAGGTTGATCAGAATGAATCACCATAGCAATAAAAAATTACCTTAAACGTGAACTGCTGCTCCCCATAAAGACGGCGCTGCTCCCGTTGTGCATCCACTTGCATGTAATAGTCTTTGTTGTAAAGCCGATCATAAAAAGGCTCTTTTGCTTTAACCTTGAGCGTCCGCGACCTAGCCGAAATTTTCGGCTGAAACGGAGCTTGCGCCTTTTCTTGTTCGTCACGTTCTTGACGAAGCTTAAGAAGTCGCTCGGTTCGATCAATGCTTCCTTGGTAGAGGCGACTAAATGGGTCTGCAACTGCGGCTGTGTCTGCTGTAGCAGTTGATAAATTTTCTGCCCTGGATTTTAAACGCTTTGCTGAAAGAACTTGCGGCTTAAAGGTGCAATTGCTTAACTCAGAATCAATTTTTTGCTGTTCACGAGCTAGTCGCTTTGATTTTTCGCGTTCAGAGTCATAAAGGGGTCGTGTCCTTACTTGTGCCCTAGAAATCGCAGTTGTAGGTCTGAAAGGACACTGTTCTTCATTTGTTTTAATCTGCTCCAAAAGCTTCATCTCACGTTTCTGCTTTATTTCTTCGGCGTCTTTGTATAAGTTTTCGTACCGCGAGCCCCTGTTTGGCTGAGTTAACTGTTTGGCTCGTCTAGAAATCGAAGGAACAAAGGTGCACCCGTCCCGTTCATGCTGCTGCTGAAGGTCGCGTTTCTTCTCGATCAACTTCTTGGCATGAGCGTGCAGGTGACTGAAATGGTTATTCTTAATGTCCTCTGATTCCTCAGTGTTCATGCGTCGCTTATACTTGTTTACTTGCGGAGCAAACGTGTACATCTCCTGCAATTCTTCACGCTTAGACTCTTTACGTGCCTTTGCCTCCATGGCATTCGCATACAACCGGTTGCTGGCGGCTTCGGCATCTGCTGCATTCAGTCGCCGCTTGACATTTCGCTGGCTGTTATATAGTTCTTCAGCTGCAATCGGATCCAGTTGTGCAATGATAACCATTTTTTCGTCTTGACCAGACGTCACGGGATCAACCCCACGTACAGATAATCTTGTCGTCATTTTAGTCCTCGTGGGCTTGCGAGATAAACTGGTTTTCGCGGCAGTACTCTTCAACAAGGTTTTGCGGGCATCAGCTGCTTTAATTCGTGTAATGCTTTTCGCTGTATGGTGCATCATACTGTCTTTCGTTAGCTCTGGCTCTGAACGTGCAGCAACTACCTCGAATTTAGCTTTCGGTTGACTTTCATTGATCTTGGTACGCGAAATCAATCGCTTTAAATGATTTCCACTCGTGAATGCTGATGCAGGTGCAGGTGGAGGCTTGACATCGGAGGCGTCACCTTTTCGCTTCGCTGAGCGCGGCTTTAAAACGGACTTCGTACATGACTTCGATGCTGTGTTTATATTGTTGTACAGCTTTGACTCCCGGATGTCGCCCTTTCTTTTGTTGTGGCAAGGAGACTGCGACAATTTGTGAAACATCTTGTCTCCAAATGGTGCCAAAGAATTATCCGTCGTCGATAGTGTCTCAAGCACTGGCTGACTAGAATTTGATGCATAATTTAATCCAGATATGGATGAAGAGCCCATCAAATCATAGATTGGCATCGGCTGTGTCAAATTTTCAACAGGGGATAACTCAGCTTCAACTGGTTCTTGTATCAAATGATGAGCTGGTAGGGCAAACTCTGTTGATGTCGCTGATGGTGGATGGAAGCCCCACTCTGAAATAGAAATGTCTACATCTCCAGTTCCAGTGAGCGATTGCATTTGCTCACTAGCAAAGTCCTTTACTATACATTTCAGCGTAGTTCCGACCGCGAATTGAGCCTCCACAGTTTTACAATCTTGCATACTTTCATTCGTAAGACTCATGCCAGCTAGACTGTCACTCAGCAAAATCTCATGGTCTAAAACTTGTTCATTTCTGTCCACCAATTCGACCGTATTCGACTCTTTTGATGCAGCAGCAAGCCCTGTCACATCAGTCAAAGTTGCTACGAGTTCTGTTTTATGACTGTGTTCCTCTTGAGACGCCTCAATTTTTATCGACGGTAAATGATAAACATTAGATGACATGGGTACTACCTCCGATTGCTCATTATCCGAAAAAATCACTAACGGCGGTTCCGGTGTGGATGGAGGCGTCCGTGGCACGCGTCCGCTGGATGGATGTATTGGCAGCATCAATAATCCGTTCTTTTTGTCCGTACTGTCGACAATAACCGTTTCCTTATCCGCAGTCTGGGTTAAAGCCAAGCTTTTTAAGGCCTCTTCCAAGTCAAAACTTTCAGATACATCCGTCGCTGCAGAAAGTGACAGTGAGATGAGGTCACCGCTACTACTGTGAGCTATAGATGATACTACTGCCACCACCTCCTCATCATCATCGTCATCATCGCGGTCTTCATCGACCAAAGACCCACTTCGTCGTCCTTTCTTGCGATTGCGGTATTTTCTTGGGGTTGGTGACTCAAGTAATGTCGCCTTAATATTTGACGCCACGGACATCGTCTCCTGTGTCATGGTGGTGATTGCGAAGTGGCAGACGTTGCACTTCAAAGTAAGCCATGTGACGCGTAAAAATAACCAAAATGTGAAAATAAAAATATAGACAAAGTCAGTTGTTTTGAGATTTTTGTAAATCCAAAATCAACATGCAAACGTCAGTGAAGATGGCACACCGCAATTTGGTGGTTCATGGAGAGGCAGCGCAGGCACTGGAGATGTGTCGGCGACTGCTGCGTACCGAGAGCAGTGATCAGCGCCTAGAGACGGCACAATTAGTAGTCGAGCGACTTCGCAGCGGTGGTACCGACGACTCGGCTGACGACGTGAACGCGCTGCTGCGACTGTTGAGTAACTACGTGGAGCCTACGCTCGAGCTTACAGAGGAGATCTTGTCATTGCTTTTATTCTATGAACACCGTGTGTTGTTAATTCATAATTTGCCAAAGGTTTGGTGTTGGTTGATAGCAAGCAGACCATCAGATTGGGGCCTAATGTAACTTTGATTTGATGTTGTTTAGCTGACGTTTCAGTCGAAAGACTGCGTGCAACTTGTGCTACAGGCGTATTTAGGGCTGCTAGCGACAGATCGATCGCTGCTGGTTCCTGTGCTCGGGTCGTTGGCGGAAATGCCATTGGATTATAGTGAGAAGACCACCGTGGTGGACGCTACTCAGTCGCTGCTCGATGCAGCGGTCGAAGAAGATATACCCGCGGTGGTGCAAAGTTTATTGTCCATGATTACTAAGTCATCTGCTTTAAAGGCACTTGCGCGACTTCGATCTGAATGTAATCGCATTCACTCCGGAACGTTAAGCCTTACGATGGAGGTGATTGGACGCCATGCAACTGCTGGATCAGTTGCGCTCACTGCACTGCTCCGTCTGATTCGACACGCAGACCCTTTAACGGTATTTGATGTTGTTTTCCTGACATTTGTCATGGGAAAGTCTGCAGAAAATGAGGTAAGGCGCACTTCTAGATTAATCTCGGCTCTGACCGATGCTGATACACGCAGTATGATTGTGATGTAGTTGGCTGTAAAGTCAACAATTTTAGTCACTCAAAGCGGTCGATTGCACAGTCGAACGATGCGTCAAGCTACTACAATGCTGGTGAATCCAGAGTGGGCAACCCTTCTCCCGTCTTTTATCCGCTTTTGCAGTTGCCTTCTTGCTGTATGTTTTCATGCGTCTACCCGCTCTACTTTGGCTTTGAGTTTGATTGCTATTGCCGTTCATTCTTTAATTGCTCTTATCGAGAGCCGAAGTACGGTTCAGAACGAGGTGAGCAAGTTGTTTATCGACCTTCTGTATTCCGCTAAATTTTACGAATTTGGCACCGGTATTGCAGGCGTTAATTCTTCTACTGACGATTGCCAGTCAGCCAATGAAATTGCTGCTGTTTGGTAGTGCTGATTCTGTGCAGCACTCGCGTGGTGTCTTGTGCTGGAATGTTGCTGAAGTGATTGCGTTAGGGTTTCATGACCTAGCTCGAAGGAATGCAAGTGTTCTGGCATCATCTTCTCACTTGTTTCTTGATCATTTGCATGGAGTTGTTTCAACTGCCATCGAAGTAGAAGCAAGTGGGAAATACCCTTCACATATCCTGGACCTTCTCTGTTCGACTGTAGCACTGCTGACGAAGAAAGAACGCGGTATATATTCTTTACTCATGATAACCATACAAAAGCAGCTCGTATCTCGAATTCCGGGTATGACCAACGATCAACTCGCAAGCCGTTTTCAAAGTGGTCGAACTCGATCCATTGCATCTGAGACAAAGCAGCTTATGGCGGTCTTTTTAACAGGGCACCTGCTGAAAAATCAAGTTGTAGTGGAATCGCGAGATCGTAATTTGCTGGCGACTTGGATGCTGCGGCTTTTAACATGCGCAAATCGAGACGAGACGCTACTTTACGTGTTAAGATTTGTACGAGAAGAATTAAAAGGGGCTACTAATGCATCCTCCTTGGAAAAAGATCGAGCACTGCTGACCTCGGCGATATCTCAGGTTTTTCGGAAGAAAGGTTTGATCTGGAGACCACGCGGCCAGCTAATTCGGCGACCAAAAGACGATAGTGACTACGTCATAGCATATGAAGGTAAAGCTACAAATCTTATCGACCAAGACGAGAGGAGCACTTTGGTATTGGATGTCATTGAGTTTGTGCGGAAGATGCGATTCGGAGTTCCTTCGCCCGCATTTGGAGCCATGGACTCTCGCGAACGTTATACATTGAAGAGACTGACGGAGCAAGAATATTTGGTCAAGATTTGCCTTCTTCGAGAACTGTTTTATTGCTATCTAGACTTTGCATCTCCAGCTGAAAAGACCGAAATTGCGGGTGCTGCGCTCGTTTTGCCTACATCTTTTACATATGCGCTGAAAGATCAACTGTCAGAGTCTGTAGAGCCCACAGCGATGAATGATGTCATCTGGAATCTTGTCTGTGGTTTAGACATAGCAGTAGCGTCGACAAATTTTGCTGCTGACTTATACAACTCAATAATCGCCAAATCAACGCGGAACAGCGAGTGCACTGGGCAGTATTCACGCATGGTCACAAAATTGCTTGTGTGCTTGGAGCAACGTATACAACTGGAGCAGATACTAGGAGCTCACAGGCGCAACATTCTGAGACGCTTAGATCGTTTTGACGATTCCCGACATGTTGACACGCAAAAACATGAGTTAGAATGGCTGTTGCTGGAAAGCTCCATAACAGAGCAATTGCTCAACGGACAGCTTCGTCGAGTGCAAGGAGAGCTTCCGAGAGCCTCGTTATTCGGGCTTGATTTTCGCGTGATTTGCTTCTTTGTTGAGGGACTTTTCAAGAAATCCCTTGATTTGTCTTTATCGTTGGCTTTCGAGCTGGATTTACTGCTCATATTCAGCCGACACTTACAGTCTGATGACGTGACGTGCTCGGGGTTTGGTGAGTGCAACGTTTTATCGAGTGTGACAAGAAATCAGCGATTTCTTGTCACTAGGAGTGAAGGGCGTCAAACTGTATTGTGGCTTTGTGACCGCGCGATAAAGTTAAGCCGTGCATTTGGCAATGACGAATTTGATCAAGTAGAAAGCGATATAGACGAAGATTATGAGGTCGGCACGACAGAATTAGCAGTTAGAGATGTTGAACAAAGAAAAGTTGTGGCGTCCTGCCTGGCATGTATTATCGAAATATTCATCGTTATTTTGGAAAAATGCCGTTTGGCCACTGAAGTAGGAGACTCAGGCTGGGCACTGAGAATGATGGAGCTTCTCGCTGCTGGGTCGTGCCCCAATGATGACCTTTCGTATTTGGAAAACTCGCACGGATCAAATGAGATATTCTTTCGGTTTTTGGCGCGGCAGAGTCTTGAATTGACGGTAAGTTTACTCTTAGTGATTCACGTCTATGACACCGGTAAACTGGCGCTTCTACTTCGCGCTGACTTATAATTTAATGTTTATCAGAATCCAACGCTTGCATGCCTCGTTCTAGATGCTTTAGCCTCTCTTGTACTCAATACAAGGAAGCAATATCTGGTCGGTCAACTCTGTCTGAGTTTGCTGCACCAAACGTTTCCGACACACTCTACTCCAGACCAAATTGACATAGGTACAGGAAATTTGTATCACGGGCTTCCCTTGAGGACTTTATCAAATGCTGTCGTGCAACCGAGCAATGGACATATGTGCGCGTTGGCAAAGTACCGATGTTCTTCTATGAAGTGGAGCCATATTCCATACCTTCTGGTCGGATCGTGGGCATACTCGACATCGGCATCCATCGGATCTGCCTTATTGGCACAATATCTTGGAGAAATGCGTCTTCTCATTGATGCCGCAGTTCCGCAGCGGTATCATAAAACTTTCAAGACGCATGTAGCAAGATTCGACGATAATGATGTGGAATCTGATGGGGATAACGAAGATAATCGCAGTCAGCCGGAGCCCAGTGTTGTTGATGGAGAGCATCTTGTCTTGAAAAGCCTGACGAACGAGTCATTGCCATACTTTATCGAGGCAGTTCTACTTTGTGCCATTGCTTCGTTGTATCGAGCAGGGCCGAAAAAGCCAAATACAAATGGTTGTGCTGACGCTGAATACAATCCATTCTCAGATTACTGCCAAGCGATGCACGTCTTTGAAACCACTTTACGCGTGTTTGCGCAGGCTGAGGCTTGTGGATTCAATTTACCGGTTAAGACGAATTTGCTGGTAATACGAGGAGCAACTTTTGTGACGCGGAGCGTGAAGTTGATAATTACAAAATGTGTTGCCTGGCGCATCGAGCAAAGTGTGGCCGACAATACCGGTGCACTGAAGCATTTGGGCGTTTTATTTGGTGCGGCAGATGCGATTGCGGCAGCGATGGAGATGGTGTCATCTACTTTTCAGGAACGTGTTGTGCTAAAAATGCAGTATGATCGATCCAGTCGACGAAAGGGGGGGCGGTCCAACGATTTATTAGAGAAAGCTTACGGAAAGAAATACAATACGCGCCGATCAATCTCAAAAAACGAAGCAAGATTGCTTCCAATCCTTTCTCACGGTATCCGAGAGTTTCAAGATTTTTTGCACGACCAAAGGTAGACAGAACTGTGATGTATAAGTTTAAGGTTTTGACATCACTGATATGGTTTTTTGCTGTGATTATGATGATAAATCATTAGTACAGTAAACAATATCGTGCTGGAAACAGCAAAAAACGAATGGAAAGATGCTGAAAGTGTTAGAAGAAACTTCGAATATCGAAATGTGATGTTAAGCGATGACAAACTCATCTCGGCATGCCGAACGCTTCAGACAAATGAGCTTACAACCACGCTTTTAAAAGATTGGCGAATCGCTCTGTCAAATGACAATGACAACGATGAAACCGATCTTGAGGAAGATGAAGAGTCAATTTACTATGAAGAGGACTCGCTGTCTGAAGAAGAAGATGGTACATTTGCTGTAAAATCTGGCACCCTCAAACAGAACGATGCTCTGTTTAACACATCGGTAATGTCGAGGTCTGTTGCAGAACTTCACGATAACGAGGAGCTGGGATTTCCAGCGATTGTCGTTAACTTCAAAAACAGAAAAGGACTAGCAAAGCCAAGCCATTGACAACTTTGAATTTGCACTAATGTTCTTCTCGTTCTGAGTAAAATTATCCAAGCTTCGACAATTTCTGCTTCTGACGTGAACGAAAGATGTCGTGAGTCGGTCTCTTGCTTACAACTCCAGAGGCGCCGTCATCGTCGACGAGATTGTTGTTCCTTTCCGCCTCAGCGGCTTGTTGCTGAAGCTGTTGTTGATGCTGTAGCGCTAGCTGTTGCTGCATCTGCTGCTGTTGTTGTTGGGCCATCTGCTCGACGTGCGAACGTGGAGGAAAATCGACGAGCAGCATGGCACGATAAATGTGCTCCACATCGGCTATCGGTCCATTCCAAGGCAAGCTCAAAGGTAACATCGCTGCAAAGTCTTTTAGAAAATCAGGCAGCGGAGGGCCAGGAATTTGCCTGCTAACAAAACACGCGGCACCAAAACTATTATGATTCGCAAGACACGAAGGCGACAAATGTCTATCTTATGCACCTTCCCGAGCTAAAAGTAAAGCCACCTTCAGGGCCTGCGCTGCTCATTCCTTCTCCATCCTCGCCATCATTATCATCAAAGATTCCTAAAGATTCGCTACGAGAAGAGATGCGATACATGTCGAGAAAACTCTGATCACAATTAGTCGGTGGGCGCATATCCAAAAATGAATATCGGTGAACAATGCTGAGCAATCCTTTCATTTCTACAAATGGTTTATCTGGGAACGTCATTGCCCGTCGAGCTTCCACTTTTGCCACAGTGGCAAGATCCCCACCGCTAGCAACCATCGTGTGTTCGAATTCAACATATCGATCCCAAATTGGACGCGATACCTCCGAAGGCATGACTGATAGCACCTTCTCAAACAAGGAACGCATATCTGTACAATAGTCACGGTTCAGGTCAACGACTAACAAAATAAACTAATATCGTACTTTTGTCATCGTTTAAATGGCCAAGAAAGTCAAGATAGCACAGAACGTATGCAGGTTCTTGAATACACTTTTTAAGACCCAACTCAAATATTTTAAGAGCAATGTCCTTTCCACCTTCAGAGTTGTCGCTGTAAAATTCCAGTAGCGCTAGTAAAAAGTCGATATATCAACATGCTTTTGCGAAAACTACATACACAAAATCATTCGCGTACCTGAAGCAGCGAATACGTGGTATGTGCAAGCACCGTCCCGGTCATCTTTGCGTGCTCTCTTGAAAATTGCGCGAGCCTCAGCCAGTCCTTTCGCGCCATACGCACGGCGAGCAAATCGTTGGTAGGTGACGTAAGCAAGTGCTGACACATGTTCCTTTATTAATTTTTCATAAATACACTTTGCAGCTGGTATGTCTCCGCAAAGTTCGTGATGGTCAGCATAAGCAAAGTGCAAATAGCTCGAGTCAGGAATAGCTTCGATTGCGCGTTCAAAGACACTGGTTGCAGCCTCAAAATCGCTTGCTTGGTTCTCGTACCAAGCATACTGGTACCATGCTTCTGGGTAATGTCGCTTAACGCCAACAAAAATTTCAAGCGTGTAGCGCATACGAGCCTTGAGACGCAAAGCATCCAGCCGTTCCGGGTTACTCATTTCGAATGCAAGAATGCTCTGCCATCTGGTCATATCCGTCGTGTCAAGTCTTGAACGCGTCGAAGGCACCGCCAGCATGTTTGTATTGACCTGATCGAACAATTTTTTGCGATCTCTTAGCACTGCTCGTGCTGCATCAAACTTTGGTCTAAAAACTTTAAAAAAATTCTGTGCTAAGGCCTCATTGTTTGGAATAGCCCTTTCAAACTTTTCATAGTCTCTCCAAAAATTTTCCATACTATAAAGCGGCTGCACAATCATGCGATGATAGAGCTTTCTTACATTTAGAAAGGTTTGTGGGTCTTGTTCTTCCTGTACAAAGTTTAAGTACATCTGCCAGATGGGAGCCGCATCAATCGCACCTCCCACTCGTTCGATAGCCAGCTCAAAAGCGTCCACCATAAGCTGTCGGGCCGTATTGATTGCTATTGAGTCTTTCGAGTCTACGGCCACGTCCAGCTTCACGACTTTGGTGAAGTCTAAATAAAAGCGCCATAGATCCACGTTCGGACAACGCAGCTGCATTAGAGATTTCTTGATAATCTCCTGTACACGTTCATAATGTTTCTCTCGCAGCTCGTGTTCAGCGTAGAATTTCCACCATCTTCCCGAGGTAGGAAACTGCATTAAAAAAGCCTCATAGTGCTCGCGCGCCTCTACAATAGGCAAAAGTTGCACCTCATTCATTAGTGCAATCCAGGCATCAGTATTCCACTGGTCGTTTCCAACAGCTGCCAGACAGCGCTTAAACTTAGGCGTGCGCTGACGTTGTAATTGACTCAGGTCGGCATCTTCTTCCTCTTCATCGGCGTCTTCGTCCATCCACGCTTTCTACAGATCAAATACATGGGCACTTTTAGCACTGAACGATCAAGTATTAAGAATTCTTTGAGCCATGTCATACAGGAGGCGCAGGGACCTCTTGAGGCACCGCCATGGGCTCGTCTTCCTCCGAGCTGTCAGATCCCGCCATAATTTTTTTGCCTTTTTAAAATGCCAAGAGTTTGGTATATAATCAAAACATAAATTTGAATGCGAAAAGACACATGACAAATGGGTCAAAAGGTGTGTTTGTGGCGCGCCAACAAAAACTATGGAGATGAGAAGATTATATTGAGCCAGTGTGTACTTCAGCAAGTGAATAATGCTTTGGTGTTGAAATATGGAGAACATTTGATGTAGTCGATAAATCGAAAAGATTTTGTGAGGGGTTACGTGCATCTTGCACTCATATATTACGTTTAGCGGGAACAAATATTGTCTTCATCCATTTAAATGGAAAGGTGCAGTAGTGTTTATTGTGTATATTGCAAACTGGAGAAATGACATATTGACAATTGCCAAATCTGAATAAGCAGATTGCTGATGAGCGCATGTGGTTTAAATAGGGATCTTGTATATATACGCGAAAGTTTCGAGACACTAGGTCAATTCAAGTGGAGGAAGGTGGAGGGACCGGCGATAGATAAACAAGCTGTGGTTGAATGTTAGTATTGTATCTTTGTCAGCTCAGCTGTGATGGGATACTGCTTTGACTTTATGAGGTTAAAATAATGGACAAGTGGGCTCGTTGCAGTTGAAAAGTGATCTTTGATGTTGGACATCCGCTGCAACTGTGTAAGCTTTTTGTTATGGGCGCTTCATATATTTTTCCACTTGACACGTGCTTCTCTAATACATTGGTCCTATTCATAACGAAGTAATGGAAGAATGAGGTTCGATATTCCGGAAGCTTACTCAAGTCTTCTCCAACGTATTGACAACTAGGCAAGGAACGTCTTGCCTTGACAAATCAAGTTTTTGGATGGCGTGTGAATTTCTCAGGGAGTCTTCTGATGCTTTTTGCAAACGTTATGGCAGCACTTAATTACAGCTATAACGAGTTTTAAGCTGATCATTGCTATATCTGGTCAAATCAGAATTGCGGATCTTGGCGATGCGCGATGCTTCGAGTGCATAGCAATCGCTAAGAATAGCTGTTGTGGTTGGAACACCCTATCGATTGCATTGACAGAAGAAGCGATTAATATTCGCTGACAGAATCAATGGAGGCGCCAGTAATCCGTCTATCAGCTCCAAGATGTTTTCGGTGCAACCTGACTGCGCGAATAAAACCTTCCGTCAACATTATTATTACAGGGAGATTGCAGTCATGTCTTCGACATTTTTTCAGTAGAATACACGTGAGAGAAGACTGCTAACGCATCTGTGGAACCGGCCGCTTTTCTTTGTGTATTTGGCAAGACCGACGCAATTAGCATAAAATTTCTCTTCATTAGCTCATGTCGGTACTAGCCTTAAGACAATAAAATCAACTCAGAATACAAGCGCATTGCTTAAAAGCTGTTTTCATTGACTGAGCCAATTTTGAGTCCTAAACATGAATAAGCATGAAAAGACCGACATCCATACAGAAATTGCTGTCAGACATCTTGTTTCGTCATGCCCCAACGACAAAGTGCAGGATGATCAAGCTAAAACAAAAGCTCGACAAAACGACGTGAGACGGAGACAAGGGATAAGTGAAAACCGTGAACTTTCCAATGTAGCTACTGCTTACTCAAAAGACACTCGGGTGGTTGCAAAGATACCTCGTCAAGTCTGCAATTTGGGTCGACAAAAAGATTTATTAACTGTGTCTGATATATTCCATAAATCTTTCGAACACCATACATCCATTCGAAAAACTCTCAAGCTTTTCCAACTCTGTCAAGAAAAACGTGACTACATGCGAGAGGCAGCCACTGCAAAAACAAGCGATGGGTTGATAGATGGAGATTGCGCCGCCAATAATGGCGGTAGCGCTTTTGAAAAGGCTGGAAAAGATCGTTGTAGACCCACTCCAAGATGTCGTCAGCGAAGCAAAGGAAATTTGGCAAAAAATCGTGTGTCCCCTTTACGCCTGGATTACGAGACAGACTGTAGGAGTCTTAGGCTGTTGGGTAATAACGCGCAACAATGGAGTATTTCTCCGAAAAGAAAACAATTTGTTTATCAAAAGCGAGAACGAAGTGCAAAAGCATACGCACCAAATTCTAGAACTTCTGAAGCCGATTTAAAGTCAGATGCAGCTTGGTTAAGGGCCAAAAGTACGCAAACTAATGGCTGCCTGGAAACCAAAATGTTGGTAACTTGTGCAGAAAGCCAAATTCGTGATCTAGTGGATAAGAAAGAAGATACGACTGATCCGGAAGATGATTTAAGGGACGGCCGTGAAGCAGTACGCATTGACGTGCCGGTCAACGTTAAAAAAACTCAAAAAAATGTTGCGGTTCAGTGCCGTGTAAGCAAATGTGAGCCAAGCCAAAGCGAAAATATAAGCGAATGCCCCCTTCCAGTGAGCATTGCAGGCAGATATCCCATCTGGGTCGACCTTAATGGTGCGGAGAATGAGAGTGCTATGTGTAATCCGAAGGAGAGAAAATATATACTGGTGGCTCATTATGACAATTTGGACAAAGCCACCGCGTCTACCGATCATGACGCAATGAACCATGCAGCAGCGCTGCTCAAAGTGTCACCCTCCGTTTCGACTGTTTTTGAATCTGACAGAGAACAAGCAAATGGTGGAAGTAATGAACATTTAAGAAACAATGCGATCAAGACAAGACATCGCACGAAGTATTGGGAGCATTTTTCGATTCACGAGCAGAAAAGCAGCAAAATGGTTGACGATCAACAGGCAAGTGAAATGAAAGTGTTGACGGACTTGAACGAGAAGATGCAACGAATGAGTAAACGCCTTCAAAAGTTAGAGAAATGTGCGAATGCAATCGATAAAGAATTAACATCTCCAGAAAGTTAGGTGTCAGTATTCCACGATATACGGCACTTTTTCACTTGCTAACAAACGATCTTCCGTTTAATATCAATTATTCCAGAATAAATTAAACTTGTCGGGTTAGGTCTACAAATCAGGGAATAAATGAAATACTAGAATTAAACGAAGAACCTCGACCTTGCAAGTAGACCAAGCACGGGTTTGCTGTCAATGATGGTATCACGGATTTTGGACGCCGCTAGGTCAATTCTTTGTTCTAGCATTGATGTTTTGCTTGTTGGCTAAAAATTTTAACAAAAACAATAGGAATCTATTTGAAAAAAATTGGCAAAATTTTGAAGGCTATCGAGCAGCTTGAGAGCCAAGTCGATAAATTTTGATACCTTTGCACCTTGCGCAAGACTGCAGCGAGAAAAGGATTTGCAATGTGACTGATCCCGAGCAGCAATCACATTGTTCTCAACTTTCTGCACTCTCTTGAAGCTCAGTATGATATACGTGTCCTCGCTCATACCACTTTTTGCTTGTCAGCATCCTACATTGAAGCAACAACAATTTAGATAAAGGGTAACGGTCAGCATCATTAACGCCTTCGGCGCCTAAAATCGTACCACGCGGTCAAATCTTGATCTGTTAGGAAACTCATAATAAGATGCAGCGTTGCTTGGTCAAGACATCTCCAACTCAGTGCTGTCAAACAGATCCGACAACTCGTAAGTTACATAAAAAACATCTCGTATTCTCTTGCGTACCTCGTAACTCCCAGTAGAGGTCTTCAAGAGAATTCTTGACTTTTTTCTTCTCATTTATGAATATTTCTCTACACTCTTCATGTTTTTTTAACTGCAAGTGTAATTCCTCAATCTGATGATGAAGAAGGTCAATTGTCTGTGCTTCCGTCTGCAGCTGCGTCTCCAGAAAATTGTACTCGCCCTCAGTGTGTACAAACTTCTGCTCGCGTTCAAATCGTGCTTTGAGTGCCAGCTGCGTCTTCTCATCGTCAGAAACAGGCAGCGCTTCCTGCTTCAGTTCCACGTGGTATGCAAGCCGTTTGGCATTCACCCACGAGAAAGAGTTGTCCCACAAAAGAAGCAAAAGTCCGGGGCCCGTGAGACTAAGCTTTCCTTTTACCTGCTGTTTTTGACTTTCATAGCGCTGTGTGCCTAGCAATTCAATCGGACTCCCGTACGCGTCGATCATCTGCACCCCGAAGTTGACGTCATAATCTTTTGTGGAGAACGAGTAATGTAGTTCTCCCTTTTGTGCATCAAGCTTTATGGGTAGTTGAAATCCTCCTGAAGCTGCGATGGGTACTTGCAAGCTCTTCCACTGAAGTTCGTCCACGATCGATGGCTGATGCTTGAAGTTAGCACTGTTAGACACGTGTAGACTGCTACTAGTGCTGCTGGCGAAGGGACCGTCAAGAGCTGCCAGAAGCTGTATCCACGATGGTCGAGAGCTCAGACGACGATCTCGTTCTAACTTCTCTTCTCGCAATTGTAATGTGGAACGAACGCGCTCCATACGTCGCTCCTTTGCACGCCGCGTCATTAAAAGTTGATACAGAATTATAACACTAAAGTCTAAAAAATATAGAGTAAGGATGGTCAGCCACTGTATGAGAAAAAAAAAAACAGGATAACAGGTTTTAAACCGTCTGTAATATTCCATCGCACCGGGTTAAAGTCCTTACGCGCCTATGCCTGGGGGCCTTCAACTCACGCTGAGAGTGAAAGAGTGCCAGGAAAATCGCTCCGCCAGCACTTTCTCTACTGACAGCTTGTCCTCTAAAGTACCGCATGTACTTCAAGAGCAGCGGTTAGGGAAGCGCATAACTCCCATGGAGTAAATTTATGACAACTGGACCTGGTGGGGGTGCCAGTAAGTATCGTACGCGGTTCGCGCATTTAGTGAGAAAAACGCGCCATCACTCGTCTTAAGGCTCTACAAGTCGGCTTCCTTGAAGTGAACATCTGAATAGATTGTCGAATTGTGCTTGACTTCATGAAGTACAAAGCATGAGCTGGAAATCGAGCTAAAATACCACTATCTCTAGTTTCTATTCTTTACAATCCAGTTTGGCTCCGTGCGACTACCGACCAAGTATCGAACCTGCATTAAGGTCGGCCCCTCTCATTAGTAGAAAGCGCGCAGCGACAAGCAACTCTGCCATTATCCAATAATGTTCGAGTGTGCGCCAGGTGGTAAGCGGCCACGGCACCAGGGTAATTCTGGCGAAGCGCTCTTCATCTCCCAAATATACGTACCTGGTATGCAGCGGGGCTGCCGTAGCTTATCGCTTGAGGAAGCGTTATTTCGGTCACCGACCTTTCGTTCTATACTTCAAACAAATACGAGTTAGCGAATCGCAATCCGCTTACTCCAAGAGTACTTATTGCCTTCCCAAGGCGAATTGACTAAAATCCAAAACCGATTTTTTATCCAAATTTTAAAAGTTTAGATTTTCCTAAATATATATAGTAAATTCTAAGCACATGCATAACTACTGGCTACCTAGCCACATACCGTGTTCTTGTTTGGGTGCAGTCACACCATGCACACCTCGTATGACACACACCCCTGTTACCAGGGTACGTGTAACCCCGTTACACCCTCCCCCATTAAG